GTATGGTGTTGCATACAAGAGGACATACAGTCACTCATGTTCCGCTGTATTGAATATGTGAACCAATACATATCTTTGTGTCAAGCGGAAGAAGCAGAGGTATAGGTACATGAGAGGACCACACAATGCACAAGTCTGCATCTGAACCTCATTTATCAATTTGAGTCTCAGGAGAGGCGGGGCCAGCAGGGGCTGCAGGGACTATGGGGGCTGTGGGGGCACATGCATTTGAGAGCATGACTGTGTCTGTGTTACTGCCAAAATATATTCTACATATAGGATCTTGTAAACAGCCACATAGACACATAGTTTTAATTTAAATGTAACCTTTCAAATGTAGTTTTACTAGACACTTCATGGGATCTAACAAACATATAAGGAGGGAAATTAGAAAGAAATCCTTTAACCAGGAGCTATTTCTGCCTAAAGTTAAATGTTGGCTTATCAGGAACTGTAGGACATACAAATCTTGACATATTTTGTGGGAATTGTGTGATTCATCAACAGATAGCAATCCATCAATGTGAAGAAGAAGAAGAAAAAACAATACAATGTTTAACGATTTGCAGCAATTTTAAGTTGATCCCAGCCAGATACGTTGAACGATTTTAATAATGGGGTACAGTTAATTGGAGTCCCATGAGCAGTTTCATCTCTGCAAAGCAGTTGCTGTTCTGAAGAAGTTTGCAACATCCATAGGGGGACGGGAAAACGAGTGAAAGGGCTGTGGTTAGTTGCGAAAATATAATTACTTTGCAAACATGCAAAGTAATGCCTTTACAGAACCTTTAACAGATAATATTTGCAAAAACAGTTCATTGATTTGGGACACTGAACACTGGCACGCGGAATTAACCATCCTCATTGCAGAATTATGGATTTGGCAGCATCATGCTGTGGGAATTTTTATAGTTTATAGATAGTTTATAGATAGATTGTACCACATGCAGGACAAAAATAAAGGAAAACAAAGGGAGGCTTCAAAAGGCTATAAGTTTACCTGTTGGACAATACCTATGTTAAACCAGAGCTTTAATACAATATATATGCATAAAACTATAACTTTACTCCTTCTTCACAATGACACTTCTCTTTTATCACACAAAGCCCCAAAAATGCTTTGATGTTTATGGCTTAACAAAAGGTTTAAAGATGCATCAGTACTTTTGCAAGAAACTACATGTAATGTATCGTAAAAACATGTATAAATTGTTGTTGAGCTAAATAATACAATTATATAATTTATTCACAAAACCTTCAAAGATATATACAAATGATGACCCACAACAAGAAACATAATCATTTATCAAATGCTAAACCTCAAGCATAAAATCAAGCATCAAAATAGGCAGGCATCCACCATCTATTATAAGTATTGTTATTTTATAAGCATGTTTAAATAAATGTGGTACACCCATAAAATGTGCATTTGGTAATTGGTTTCAAAAACGAAACTGGTTTGATGACTAAATGTCTAATGTAATGCCTGTATTATTCCTCTGTTTAATGTTCAATAACAGAGTCCAATATGCATAAGCCTATAAAACTCAGCTTATTTACTGAAGAATCAGCATCACAGGTACCTTTCTTTTTTAACCCCCAAGACCTTCAAGTGTCAAGTATCTGGGTATTTTGTGAGTTTGGAGTTCAAACACACAGGTACTCTGGTTGTTGATCCCCTTACAAGATGAGCTTTGAACCTGCGGCTTTGATTTTTTTTAAGACCACAATTAACGATAGGCATATATATAAATACATATATGGGCTTCTCCCCTGTTCAAAGCATAATGGAAAGATCAATGAGGGATTGACAGTCAAGTGATGCCGTTTGCACAGGTGTGTGTGTGTGTCTGCGTATGTTGTAAATGTGCGGCTGTCTTACATGAAACAGAAGCAGTAAATCAGCAGGCGAGTGTGAAAATTACGCAAACGGGGGCTTTCCTCTGCTCTCCTGCTGCACCTGAGTCATTTGGAAAAGGGGGCGTGGAACTTCAGGACGAGGAGGATGCTGCTGATGTTTTTCACCTCCAGCCTCAGCATATGTTTTTTTTTTTTTTAAGACATTAATTGCTCTGCGAAATGGTGAGTTGTGGACCTCCTACTGTGAAGCTCAAGTTTGCGCACTGTATTTGTTTGTGCTACAGGATATTAAGTTTATGCCTGGCTGTGTCACTGCAGCTGTATGTAATTTATTTCACTAAGTATAGTTAAATTCATACAATCCACTGTTATTACCCCTTTAAATTATCTTACAGTCTTTGCAATAAAAAAAGAAAGTTTCATTATTAAATAAGACCAATAGAAAAGAACTGCGTTAAATAAATCAAACAACCTTCTGTCCTTGGGTGCTCTTGGTCAGTGGCCTCTTGACATGGAGGTGATTAGCCTGTGGCTATACTGATGTTTGAAGGAGCCCAGCTTGCTTTAGCGACCTATTTTTCAAAATTGTTGGCCTAATTACCACATAGATTCTTGGTATGATTAGGTCAGGCCGGTTAGATGACTAGTCAAGCAAATCACAGCATTTACAGCAGTGATTGGTAGTGAATTTTGCATTTCTATACTTTTTGGCAGTGAAGGATATGAAGTGACCTGAAAAATACCAGAACACCAACTTTGCTTTGGATTAAACACTGTGGAAAAATTCTGATGGAAATCTACAAACAGGGTACTTGTGAAAAAGTGATATTAAACAACAATCATTCTGTGTCTCTTCACTCCAGAACCTATGGCCTTGATTACTAAGCTAAATGCAGAATTTAGTTTCATCTAAATAAGAGAACTTTGGACTATGAACTATACTTCATGTGTGGTCTATTATAAGAAAAAGTTTCAATTTGGTTTTACGCTCTATCTGCCTATCACATTTTCCCTTCCACTTAACTTTCCACCAATATGCCAAAATGCACTCTTCTTTATTAAGTCAGAAGATGTCTCTTTAGGAAGATGTCCCTGTTTGTATTTTGGACAACTGCCAAATCAGCAGTCTTTGACTTTATGTGTATGTTAAAATCAGTAGTGTCAAACGTTCACACATTTGTTACTTAAGTAGAAGTATAGATACTGCAGTTTAAAAACACTCTGGTAAAAGTTGAAGTATCGACTTGACCTCTTTATTGAAGTAAAAGTGAAAAAGTATGTGCTCCAAAAACTACTTAAAGTATAAAAGTAAAAAGTAACCTTTATAAAAACAGCCAGATGCCACTATATGAACTGAAAGCTAAACTTTTTAACTATTTTGAAAAATTCTTTGAGATAGGGTCAAGGATGAGGGAGGTCTTGTTGGTCTCCGTCTCCATCTCCCGATACGCTCTCGCCTGTGTCCGACCTTTCAGACATTTCAACATCTTTTTCTGAATCCTACATTGTAGCATGGCATAGACAATTCATGTTTTCAGTTTGAAGAACACCTGCTTGCTTCTGATGATTTCCTTTAGCTGACCAATGAGTGTTTGAGTTATATGACTCATCCAATTACACTCGTTTTCACTAGATATGGATGGAGACAATGATCGGCATTGGATGGCGCACATGACATGAAATAAATAGAGCCCAGGCGGAAATTCAACTGATCAAACTGATTGCTCTCTTACATCCACCTGCGACACAGCCAATCAGCTTTGAACCACACCTCCATGACAGCCAATCAGCATCCAAAACTCATCTTAAAGGCCTCCTATACGCACCTGTCTGCTCCTGTGCGCAGGCAGCGAATGTGCTGTGACTTCATTGAGATGACACAGATTCAACCCACCTCCAGCCCCTCCTCCACCTTCGTAACTAAAGCTTCATCAGTGCCATTCCTTCTGGACTCTTACTGTGTTCCCTGTCTCAACTTAAACGGTCTGGCAGAAGACCACCATGTTGAGTCTGATTCTGCCTGAGGTTTCTTCCCAATGGGGAGTTTTTCCTCTCCACTGTCGCTTCATGTATGCTTATCATGGACAGGTTCTCTCAACCTGTGTTATCCAACTGGACTTCCATCATCCAGGTCCCTGAGTGAAGCTTTAGTATGAGCTCACACAATCCACTGGATCTCCCCATAAAGCTCAGCATACCGTCTCACTAACCAGCAGTCTACAGACTGACCAAATTCATCTATCTCCACTCTACAACCAGGTTCATGCCTGAAGGGAAAAAGCCCCTTTTTTTGCTCCTGTTCATGCATATCTATCAAAATTAAGCGCTATGTTTCCTGCCGAAGTCAGAGCGCCAAAGACAAAGTTATTGTATTAATACATTTCTCCTAATTGTCTTCTCTCTTTTTTTTCAGATTGAAATATTTATAAACATAAAGCCGAAGCCAAGAGTACGAGTAAGATTTGTTTAAAAAATGTAAGAAATAGAAAGTACAGATACTTGTGTGAAAATGTAATGAGTAGCAGTCAGAAGTTGGAAGAAAAATAAGTAATGGAGTAAAGTATGGATACCGTAAAAGGGTACTTAAGTACTCTAGTTAAAATCAGATAAAATAAATCTTTTATACTGGTCTTATGGAATATTCTCAATTTGTTTTGTAGCTATAATAAATAAAACTCCCTGGACAAAGGCTTAAATGAAAGTTACAACACTATTTGTGATTAATCTAAGCTATCTGATTTGATCTTTTGAAGATTTATGTAGAATCATCAATAAAACCTGTCAAACTCTTAACCATCCTCCAATACTCTTATTAGTCTTCCTTTCTAATAATGGAGAAGGCTAAAACTGCAGATCAGAGATGAGACAGCAGAGCAAGAGGCAGGGATGAAGGACAGCTCAATGAGCCATATGATGAGGAGGGGATTGGGGAGTATTTGCATAAAAAGGCAATCCGGGATGAATGTGAGCCAACGTGCTGAGGAGAAAGGTACAGTTGTGTCAGTGCTTTGCTGCAGAAGCAGATTTCATATCCTGAAGTGAATCCAGCAGGAGAGAGAGAGGGAGAAGGAATCCTGGATAGAAAAAAAAGGGGGAGTATCCAAAGGTGAGGCAAGGAGAGGGAGCAGATAAATAGAAGAGAAGAGGAGGAGGAGGAGGAGAGGAAGGGAGGCGGATTGCTGCAGCGCATAGACGTTATCACAGCGCAGGAGTTTAATTTCCCTGCAATGACAATTTAATTAGTGGTGCGCCAAAATTCCGCACTGTGCGCACATTTAACTTTTTTTTTTCCTTCTTCTCAAGTCGCCGATCCTGGTTGGCAAACAGTGGATCTTCGCTCATCACTCGGACCTCGGATCTCCTGCGAGCAGCATCGGGTGTCTGAATCTGTGATGGGGGCAGCGGCTGAGCTTGGGAGCTTCGCCAACGGGTTTTTGGACAGCTTTGGCGCCGCTCCGGCTTCGGTGGCTTCGCATTTTGTTCTCACCCCAGCGGGGGCCGTGGACTACAACTCTGCAACGGGACTGATGCTGGGAGGACAGGGGCTGCAGCTGCAGCAGCAGGAGCACCTGGTGTCCGCGGAGAGGCTATCCCGGAGCCTGGCGGACCTCAGCCATCTGAAAGGCATCCTGAGGCGGAGGCAGCTTTACTGCAGGACCGGCTTCCACCTGGAAATCCATCCGGATGGCACCGTGCAGGGCACCAGGAAGGACCACAGCAGATTCGGTAGAGATCTATATATTTAATATGAGGATGGATCAGCAGTAACAGCAGAGGTTGTAGTAGTAGCAGTAGTAGTAGTACTATAGGTGGAGGGGAGCGCAGTAAATAGGAAAGCTCTGCTGTGCAATGATAACATGTGATTTTAATTGAAGCTACTTACAAATAAACCAAACATTTAACAAATCAGAAAATGCAATTATCTGCAGATTTTAAAATCAGTTCTTGACTGATACATTATTAAGGTGTAATAACCATCTAATGCAGAGAGTTGCAAGTCATGCAGAATATTCTGATTATGTGTTTATCATAAATTCTTCCAACATATTCTAGTTATTTGGTCAGGGATACACGTTCCCTCTCTGGGACAAAGTGTTGGCATGTTTCATGCATTGTTGCTGATCTGGTGTTTTAATCAGCTTTCAGCTCAGAGGCATCAAAGCAGAGTTCTGCAGAGATTTGAGCCTCCTGGCTTTAGAACTTCTTGTTCTGAACTCAGTTCCTTTCACACCTTGGCGCAGCTTTATGTCAGAGCCATATGGCTCACTGCTCAGGGCGCCTTCCAGGAAAGGGTGGCACAATTGATAGATAGTATTTTCTTATTTCTCACTTTATTTTACACCTTTTTTTTTTCTTTTGCTCAAGCGAGCCTGCCCCATTATTTTTTTCTCCTAATGACCACTTTAGGGATCATTAGGGGGAAAAAGGTTTGCAGTCAACCTTAGTTTCAGTTCACACGAATATATGCTGAAAGCTTTTATTCAAAAAAAAAAAAAAAAAGGATGGAAAATGTTTTTAGTTTTTATTTTAGGTGGTATAAGTTTCCTATTTGAAACTTAAAAATAATCACAAGTTTTTCTCACTCCCTTTGAGCAAAGTGCTCTTTGGGCCCCCCTGTTGGTAAAAAAAAAAAATCCTTAGTTTCTTTATAGTTTAACCTTGCTAATCCCTTTAAGTTTTTTGTTATTATTCAAGTGCAAACTGTAATTCCCTGTAAGCTTTGTCAAGATTATATTTCTTTATGATTTTAATATGATTTTTTGTTTTTTAATCTATGCAGGTATTCTGGAGTTCATCAGTCTTGCAGTTGGACTTGTCAGCATCAGAGGGGTGGACAGTGGCCTTTACCTAGCCATGAACAGTAAAGGAGAGCTTTACGGATCGGTAAGCATGTGACTATAATCATACAATCAATAAATGTGAAATGTCTTCCTGTTAAAAGGGAAGTTTTCCTCTCCACTGTCGCTACAAGCATGCTTAGTGTAAGGGATTGTCTTCAAGTCAATGAGTCGATGCAATCAACTGGTTTTCCTTTGATAGAAATCTTTGAATCAATTTGACTGGATGATCTGGTGAACTGTAAAGTGCCTGGAGATGACATGTGTTGTAAATTCAATTCAGTTGAATTCAACTGAATTGAATTAAATATACACGCAGCAATAATTTTCTAAATGAGTCTTTTGTGAATCAGTGATGTTATTGGGTTCTACTGACAAAACTTTAACATAATGCTTGTGCAATTTCTCTAATTTAATAACAAATTCAAAGATCCTAAAGTATTTGAAGAAATCTCAGTGTGGTGAAAAGTATTCCAGTTCAGATTTGACGAGTACAAGCATCTTGGAACTTAAGCTGAAGAATCAAATGCCCTGTTGATTCCTTAATAAACCGATTAAAGGTCGTTTTACTCCAAAATAGAAGCCAGACTACACACATACTTTATTTAGTTTTATATTTCATACTAGTATACCCACACCCCAATGTCAAGATTTTCCATAAACAGCAGGAAAAAAACCAACGAAACAAGAAAAAACAAAAAAACTGAAGTACTTGGTTATACCAGGCCTAAAAGGCTGTGCTGCCCTGGGTAGTGAGCCATACTGCCAACTGCATCACTATGGTATTGATTTGTGTTAATGCCCATTTCCTGTTTATAGAAACAAGCAAACTAACTTTTTGTTTTGCCTCACAAAACTAAAGTCTCTCTTTTCCCCCTGCAGGAGAAGCTATCAGCAGAGTGTGTTTTCAGGGAGCAGTTTGAGGAAAACTGGTATAACACGTACTCTTCAAACATCTACCGGCACGGGGAGAAGGGTGCTTTTTATTTTGTCGGGCTGAACAAAGATGGGACGTCACGGGATGGAACAAGGTCACGGCGGCATCAGAGGTTCACACACTTCCTACCGAGGCCTGTAGATCCAGAGAGAGTCCCAGACCTGTATAGAGATATACTGGGCCAGAGCTGAAAGCAAAAGCTGCTGTTCTTCAAACAAAACTGGTTGGAGGAAACAGGCCAATTAAGTGTGCCGAATGTCATCCCCTTCCTTTTTGGAGATGGAGGATCTTGTTGATCTGGATGAAACAGGATCGCACAGAAAGCACTGATCAAGTCCATGCTGCTGGGGTAGAAAGAGAAGGAAAAAAGTCTGGGAGAGGTCTGGGTTTGAGGAGTAGAACACAAGCAAAGTTTATGAAAAGAATGTTGTTCCTCTGTGGCCTATGGGAAGACCCCGGTGACCAAATGGATAATCTTTGAATTTTCATTAGTTGTTGCTTTATAAAATCCAAATAAAAGCTGTTCAGACTGCATGCTCAGATGGACAGAACTGGATCTGATAGTTGTGAGACTAACCACTAGCCACTGGTAGCCTTTACCACTGTGTCTACTGGGACATTTTCTTTTTCCTACCATTATTAAGGCTGCTATGGTTGATTTGCATTACAAACAAATAAAAAAAAAACAACTTTTTAATGCACTGGAAAGCAGCCATGCTTGTTCTGGAAATCCACTGCTGCTCAGAAAATACGACTCTTCTGCAAAATTCAAGAGGAGGGTGAATTGAAAGAGAAGGCCGTTCGGATATCCGCTGCGGGGAGCTGCGATGGGAAACCTCTCTGGTCGGAACTGGCGGCGGTCATTCACTGAAGGAATTAAGCTGTTGTACACCTGACTGTCTGCAGTCACACAGAAAGCATGGGACTGGTTAAAGACGAACATTTGATGGATCTTATTATTTATATTTTTTTTCTTAGGGCATACATTATATTTATTTCATATATTTATTTATTTCAAGAATATATTTTTGCAGGTATAAGATGAAATAAAAGAATACCCAGAAAAACAAATGGGATTTATCTTGTATTTTTTTGCATTCCTCTATCAAAAAAAAAAGCTTTAATGGGTTTAATTTAGGCTTCTCGTATTAATATTAAATTGATTGGTGTTATTATTTTAACCAACAAAATCAGTCCTGCAAGCCAGCAAGTCTTTCTTCTTAAATACTGACAGAATTTTTCATTTAGTGATGCAGTAAAAAGTTTTATATGCAGAATAATAATGGAAGTGAATTGTCATCTGATTCTGGGGCTTCATGTTGGAGGAGTAATACAAACATCAACTTCCAAAATTTGGAAGTAAAAAAAACTGTGTGAAACTTTTGTTTAATGCATTTGATGCATTTTTACTATTTGTTAAATGTCCCTTATAAGGTTATACCTTAACAACCTGGTTTTTGTAGCTGCCACAAAGCTTTAGGTATAATCCTAGCTGGATATAACAGCTAGATAGCAGCACTCATGTTCTACTCATAGCATGAGTGCTTTTGGATGGCTTTTCAGAAAGTAAATGTTTAGGCTCACTCCCTTGCTGAAACGCCTGACAGAATCCATATTTTAATAACATGACATGAACAAAAAATAAAATGTCAGGATTTTATAAAAAAATTCCAACATCCATTCGAGCCAGTCATAAACTAGGAGACACTTTCACACCCCGCTCCACTGAGAGGATGTTGATCAAATTAGAAGCCCCTGGTATAAAATCTTCTGAGCTTGATTGAAACTTACAGTATCCCACATGATCATTCTACATTTGATCAGGAGAAAAGACTTGTGGTCCTAAAAGACAAATTCTAAGCTATTTCGACCCAATACCAATAAGAAGTTGTAGATGAGTGAAGGGGCAGCCTTCAAATCTGATAAAGCTAATAAAAAGTCAAGCATAGTAGCTGTTGTATCATGCTATGGGACTTTTTATATTGCCAGTGGAGTTAGTGAACCACCATTTGGGGATTTAATAATAAAAATCATAGGTTAGCTCTTAACTCTACAACTTCCCCAGAAATAATTTCTGCTGTGCTGTAAGCTGGATAAAAATGAATGTTCTAACAGAGGTATAAAAACTGGCATGTGGAGGTAAAAAAAGTAGGCAAACATTGGCTTTCTAGGATGTGCTGAGGTTCTAAGGCATGGCTTGACCAAAGATATCAACCAACTAAATGTATTTAAACAAGCAGCAAAACCTCTGTGTTTTTTGTGCACAAGTATTAGTTTTTTTTAGAGCACGTGCATATTTTGATATCGTGCTAACTCTGAGAAAATCAGAGAGAATCCACCACAGATTGAAATTTATGTGGCCAGTTATTTTCCCTGAGGCTGCATCTGATGTGATCTGAAATAGAAATAATTTAGCTCTAAAAAATCGTGTCATTGACAGAAAAACTTCTAAACAAAATAGTATCCTTAACTTTTTTATATGCAGCATAACTGACCTAAAACACTTCTGTCATACGCCACATCTAACTCATATTGTATGTAACAAAGTTTAGGATGAAGTCTATATACCCAAAGCCTTTGGAAATTAAAACAGTTAAGCAGTAAACAGATAGGAGATAAATCATTTATGAGAGGAGCCACGCTCCCTCTGTCAGACACTGCAATTAGAAGAGTGACTGGTAGCTTCTGAGATCCGCTGCTACCTTTCATTCTTTCTTAGTCACCCACCTTTATCTCATCCTAACTTTATTTGTGAGTCACCTCTTAGTCTGGGTAGCAGTGAGTAATACATTAGGTCGTCAGATGTAAGAAGAATATGATCTAACCATACGGTCAGACATCTTAGCAACACAGTAGAGAAAGTCTGCTGATGTTATGATGATCCACATGGAAGCAACATCTGCATTAACCTCCAGCATTATCCGGATAAAAGAAATATGATTTTATGTTTTGATGTAGCACCAGCATGGAGGAGAAGGGGCTGGGGGAATGCTTACCAAGAAAATCCTGGAACTGGAGCATTTATAGAAAAGCATTTTCCTTGGTTTAGTTTATTCTTGATTCTGGCAACAAAAACTTAAAACTTGCAGGTTTAATTGAACCTTTCAGGCATGGTTCAGACTCCTGTTTATGCAGATTCCTGAAAACCAACAGTCTGGATTAGTTGCACCCAGATGCAAGCATACATGGGAAAGCATCAACTCAGACACAATAACATAGATAAAACCAATCTTTATTGACTAGACCTGCTTTGGAAAACAAGCTTTGGAAACTGTATTTCTTGCAGTTGTCCATAGATCTCACCCCCCTCATTTTTTAATACAGCTACAGCCAGTCTTATCTTGCAAGTTTTCATTAAGTTGGAGGATACAGAGAGAGAGAAAACTTGACCGACTCTTTATCTTTGAATAATTTCTAGATCTTCCTGGCCTTCCGTATTCTGAACTAATCCCCTTAGCTTATTCTACACATTTTCCGCTTATTTTAGAGCTGGGTCAGATATGACCCTGGAGGAAGGTTGATTTTGCACCGGTTGGCCATGTTTGTGTTTATTTGGACACATATTTCTTATTGTCATTTTGAAAAATCTGATGAACAATCTGATTATGAACCATTTCCAATTTGGTAGCAGTCAGACAGCTTTCATTCATGACCGCATTCTGCTGGATGAGAAACTGAACATGACATTGAGCTGTGGTGGTTTTCCCCATACTTGTTTCTGTTTTGCTCCAGAACAAGATACTTTTTATTTGTTATTGTTTTTTTGTTTTGTTTTCTTGCTTTGTAGGGAAAGTTCAATATCAGACTCATTTGGTAGATGAACAGATTTTAATTGAAGTCCTAGTGGAGTTGGACAAACTCTCCAAGTTTCATCTCCTAATTGTTCTCCAGCTGTCATGTTTTATTCTGGATATTGAGGGCCTTTATTTCCCTAGTTCTTCTTTCTTCCTGTTTTCTTACCGTTGAGTCGCCCAGTTTCCTCTTGGTTTCAGGCCTTTCATTCATCCAGTTGTGTTCTGTTTGTGTGCTATTCGTTTCTGGACAGTGTTCTGTTCCCGTTCTGTCATTCATTATCCTTGATTCCTTCTCTCTCTGTGTGTTCTTTAATCTTAGATGTTGTTTATTTAACTCATCAGTTTAGTTTTCTTTAGCATTTACTCCCCTTTGGTTCTTTATTCATTGCTGCTTCATCTGCTCAGCACTGCTCTTCTCTGCTTTATGTAATTCTGCTATCCAGTCATCTTCCTTCATCTTCTTAGGTTTGTTTTTGGGGTTAGTCCTCATTTTTCATAATTTTCAGGCCACGTTTTAGGATATTTGTGTCTAAGAATTATTTTTTGTAAAATTAATTTGTATTTTTATACATCTTATTTTTTTTTGTCCACCTCTGCCTCCTTTTTAACTGCATTGGGGTCTCTCACAACCAACCTCACCTCAAGTTTTGGATCACCCACTGTGTGGTGAAAACATATATATGGTTCTCTGTCAAGCTTTATGGTTAGAGGATGTGATGTTAGGTCTGTATCTTAGAGAAGCAAAGAGACATAGGTTAGTAATGAGAAATTCTATAAAATCAGCTTTAAAAAGCTGAAAAAGTTGCAAAGGTAAGCTATAGTTGGGGTAAAAATTATTTTTGCCTAATGGTGATTTTGGGAACCTGCTGCAGCATAATTGCCAGAGTCACTAATACGTGAGGTCTTATCTCTATATTTGTATTCTGTCAGAATTACAGAAACTTTAAATCTTCAAAGTGATTAGGCAGGCTTTACCCAAACCTCTGGATGCTCTTGATCATTTTAGATTATATTTAGAAACCTATCAGTGGTACTTTCGAGCATCCCTTCAATCCACTATCTTCCTTCTCTTCTAATATTCTTAAAATGAAATGCAAATAAAAAAAAAAGATAAGAGTCGATGTGTAAATATTATAGGCGCATTGCTATAAACTTTGTTCAACTATAAACTATAAACTTTGTTAAACTCTCTTTAGATGTGATTGTTGGCTGTTTGCTTTAATACACTTTAACTAGACTTGGATTTTCAAAGAATTCCTTACAATAAAAAAAACATATTATTGGAACTCCCCCTTTTCTTGTGTCACCTGTGCACCCTGATAGGAGAGAAAAAAACCCTGCTCAACTGCCAACATCTGGACTGTGTTTTTCAGATGCTGCGGAAACAACAGCCCTGTGAGTTTTGTCTGTGCAGCTGCATTTAACATCAAGGAGACTTTGTCATTTACAGGTCAGAGCCAGCATACAGGCTCATCAGCTTGGTAAAAACTGCCTCAGATAAGATTACAGAGCACCGCAGCTTATATCCACCCAGAAGTGGCAGAAGGAAGATGGCTACATTGTGTCTAGAGTAGGCTTTGGCGTGTGTATACTCCTCTGATAGGGGCAGAGAGTGTGGGATCTTCAGACAAGCAGTGATTGAGTACCAGCATGTGGACAGTGGCTAAGAGCGTGTGTCAGACACTGATCTTTAAACTGCAGCTTAGAGAGAAAAAGAACAGGTACATGTTTTGTAAGAAACAGGTGGGTTTCCAAAAAGAAGAGAAACATTAAAAAAAGTTAATGTGGGCTATTGGCGTTTGGCAGCATGTCAGGTTACAGCCTTCCTTTGAAGTTTGTGTGTGTGTGTGTGTGTGTGTGTGTGTGTGTGTGTGTGTGTGT